AAAAGCAAAAGACTCAGATTTTTTTTAATTCATCTTTTTACTATTTAGAAGACACACATGGGAAGTTTGAAACTTAGGGATTAAAAGATGATGCAGGAGATATTAGGCAAGTTTTAGAGAAAGAAATGGGGAGAGGGAAGAAGACATTAAGATCAGACAAAAAAAATTTAAATACTTTTTTAGTAGTTGATAGACCTTTATTTTATTTATTTACATGTGGTTCTGAGAATCGAAGCCAGTGCCTCACTCACACCAGGCTAGTACACTACGGCTGAGCCACAACCACAGCCCCGAGACAAAATTTTTAAGGAAAAAAAGACTAAAACTAGGAGCTAGGCATGGTAGCCCACACCTGAGGTCCCAGCTCTTTGGGAGGTTGGGGCAGGAGTGTGGATTGAGCCCAGAGATTCTGGACCAGCCTGGGCTACTTAGGGAGACTCTTAAAAAAAATTAAAAATTAAAAAACAAAGATGGTGTTACCTAGATAGAAGGAGGAATAAAATTTAAAATTAAATGAGTACAGATGTGAAGAAACATCACCAAAGAAGAAACCTAAATGGTCAGTAAACATTAGAAACAAAATGTTGAACCTACTAGTGATAATGGAAATGAAATCAAAGCAACCATGGATTACCTTTCAACCCCTTCCCCCATCAGACGCATTGGCGGGAAGGGGAATAAAGGACCCCCCCCCCCCCGGGCCTTCCTAGTGGGAAGGGGAGCAGCAGATGTGCACAGAACACAACCCTCCTTTGTTTTCTGGCTCTGTCCTATATACGCACATGAGGATATTCCTTGGATGTCACTTGTAACAGCCACAAGGAGGAAGGGGCTCGAGTGTCCCTCTATAGTGGAATGAATATGTAAGCTGTGGCACAGTCAAACAAAGCTTAAGGCAGCTAAAATGAATTAAGGGTTACCTGGCTCAAGTAGACACACCTCAAAATTACACATTCAATAAAAATAAGTCACAGAAGGATGTGTGTATCTAACTTCACGTTTCCATAAAACACTGTATTGTAAGCTGCTTTTATGGACATATGCATGTGTAGTAAAATGTGCATATCTGAGAAGAGATGATAATTTCCCCCAACTGGTTGGTTCCCTTCTTGAATGAGGAAAGAATGGGCAAGATCAGGGAGGAAGAACAAGTGGGCTGAGCTCAACTCGGCCATGTTGAATTTTTAAAAACTCTGAAGCAAACATGGCAACAATGTTAGCATTTGTTAATGTGGTCAATTCTGGGTGGTAGATCTATGGGCTTCTGCAGGTGTGTGGGGGTGGGGATATATTCTTAATTTAAAAACAGTTTCTAAGCCAGGCATGGTGGCTGCGCCTATAATCCCAGCGTTTTGGGAGACTGAGACAGGAGCATCGTAAGTTCAAAGCCAGCCTCAGCAACAGCGAGGCACTAAGCAACTCAGTGAGACCCCGTCTCTAAATAAAATACAAAATAGGGCTGGGGATGTGGCTCAGTGGTCCAATGCCCCTGAGCTTAACCCCTGATACTGGGGCGGGGGACAGTTTCTTCTGGCTTCAGAGGAAAGAAATATGATAATAATGCAAAGCGAAATGTGTTGTGCTCCATTATGGGTTTCTTCTAAGTGGCCTTCAGAGTTGAGCTGCAAGAGATTCCCGCCACTCTAGGGGAGCCAGGACGCAAGTGGAAAGAGCTACCGCAGTGCTGCGTCCCTGCAGACATGGCCAGCTCTCCTCAGGCATCCTGCTCAGGCACCAGCTGCCCTGGCCTTGACTTTTTCCACTTCTTTGACCTGCCAAGTCCTTTCCTATGATTCCCGAAGAGTCTCCTCTTCAATTTCACAGTCTTTTCCTTGTGAACCAGTAGTTAGCGCAGGGCCTTCCGGTAGGTTTTTATTCTGAAGGAAAACATCTAAAAGACAAAGTGATGCTTTACTTCCTTCTCAAGGAAAGAGAAGGATGGTCTCTGTGGTCCTGTGGTGGGTGTTTTATGAAAACGTTCCGATGGTGCGGGGAGGGGACCAGTGGACTGCATGTGGGACAGCGTTTGTATGCCTGGTGCCAAACTCCACGTAGCACTTTCTCTGTCACAGTGACTCTTCCTGGGGCTCTCACCTTTTTATATTCTGTTTGACTTCTCTTGTCAAACATGCTACTACAAATAGTTAATGAACGTATCCCATGACCCCAGTAAGGAAGTCGTCCCCATCCTCGGTTCGTAGTCTCTAGCCACGTCCCCAGCCCCTCTAGTCCGGTTCTGTACACGAGTGCTGTGGACTCACAGTGAGTGCTTTGTACCTGGGGCCAAAAAGGAACAGGAGTCTAAGGTCCTCGCTCCCCATCACAGCAGCTTCTCTGCTTTCTGGATGATCTGTGTCACTATAACACAAACCATCATCAGTTAGCGTTATTCTGAACATAAAGTGAAATCCTGGCACACTCTGGATCCTGGTGTCTTCCGTGCTTTTCACATCCTCACCAGGTGATAGGAAGTGGAACAGCAGCATCGGTCTAGATGCCGTTGCCCAGTTCCCCTGTAAAGCATCTATGTGTCTTTAAAGTACACATCAGCGCCATGCTGAAGCCAAAAGGAAATTCTGACTCGGGTCTCTTAGTAAGCTGCTTCAGGCCACCAGTCTGGGTCTCCTAATGCACCTTGTGTCCTCAGACATTTGCTGCTTTTTCTTTGCAGAGAGAAGATGCATCAGTCTGCCATGTATGAACTGTGCCAGGGGATGCACCAGATCAGCCTTCAGTTCGTGCGCCTGCAGCTTACCTTTGAAGAATACGCCATAATGAAAGTTTTGCTGCTACTAAGCACAGGTATAGCGATGTCCACCCTGGCACTTTTTCTGCATTGTCAGATCATCTTCCCTGTAGCAGAGTATTCACATAGTTGGTACCAATACTGATGATGATGTTGAAGAGATGTGTGGAGGGCTTTGGCCTTTGATGAACTAAGTTACTGTTGGGTGTGAACCTGTGTACATATGAAAGAGCATGCCACTATTTTATTCATTCAGCCACTAAATATTTATTAAGTGTCCACTGTGTGCGTGGTAGGATTGGGCAATTCGGGAAACACAGGAATGAATGACCCAACTGTCTGTCTGTGCCCTCCAGGAGCTTACCTGTAAGACGCATCTAAAGATAACTCTAACACACTGTGGCAAATGGTGATGTCCTGTGGTAGAGAAAAGGGGCAGGGAAGCTCTGGGTTGCAGGGAGACAGGGCACTAAGTTTCATGGGATTGGCCACTGCATAAAGAAAAGGAAAGAGCCTATTAAAGTTTGGTGAAAGTTATGGATCTTGGAGGACTTTGCAAGGTTTCTAGATTGGGTGTGAACCACATGATATTGCTGTCGGGACAGTGGGAGTGTGGACGTGTGGGGACAGAAACTATATGAGCAATAGCACTAGTTTCAGGGGAGGAGGGTTTTCTTGCCTCTTAATTTTTAAATTTTTATTTTACATACATATGTATTTGTTTAATTTTTCAAGTTACATCAGATTATGTTGGGGTGGGGTGTACTGGGAATAAGGTTGAGAAAGGGATTGGACCAGATCATCTGGTGCCTGTTGAGGAAATCCAAACTGCATCGGGCAAAAGTAATGCAATACCGAAGGCTCTTGAGCAGCAGGGCAGCAGGATCAAAAGCTGTATTCAGGGCTTCATGAAGACGTAGCTAGTGATAGAATGGATTAAAGGGGAAGGGGAGAGGCAAAGACAGGCAGAGCACTTAGCCTGACTGGAAGTCAGGGGACCTGCTGGGAGGCTGTGGCCACCTAGGCCTG